ATCGATTTAAGACTTGGACAGCGTCTTTCTTAAGTATTGACAACATTCGAATTATTTTAAGATTAATTACGCCATTCAGATTTAATTCAATTTTTGTTTTTATTATTCATAGATATATATGGGATAATTTGACCATTGGTTATATTCAAGGCATGTGTGATCTTATCGCACCATTATTGGTTATTTTTGATGAAGGTTATTATTAATCTATTTAAATATTAGAATTTCATCGATGTTCTTGTCATTTTTAGAAGTAATAACATATAGCTGTTTTTGTCATTTAATGAAACGTCTTTTACCAAATTTTCCTAATGGAACTGGTATGGATGAAAATTTTGGTCATATGCGTTCATTATTACAAATTCTTGATTCTGAACTTTATGAACATATACATCATACAGGAGATTTTACCCATTTTTATTTTTGTTATCGATGGTTTTTACTTGATTTAAAACGAGGTAAACATTCTTCTTTTTTTTGTTTTTAATAAATTAATAAAATTTATTTTTCTTTTAGAATTTATTTATGATGATATATTTCTTATATGGGAAATAATAGCTGCTGCAAGACGAACAGTGTCAAAACGTTTTGTTTTATTTATTGCATTAGCAATGATGAAATATTATCGAGATATAATCTTAGATAATCGAATGAATTTTACAGATATTATTAAATTTTTTAATGGTTTGATTTTTTTTTCTTTTGTATTTTTTTTATTGAATTTTTTTAAATTTTTTTCATATATAGAAATGGCTGAAAGGCATGATGCTCAAGAAATTTTGCGCATAGCACGTGAACTTATACTTGAATTACAAAAATTAATTGATAACAAATGAATGAATATGTATTATACAGTGAATTAAATCTGTTTAATGTTATAGATAAACTATTTTGTTTTCTTGTTGTTCGTATACTGTTATTGTTGTTTTTATTGGAATTTAGTTAGAACTTATAGTCATATATATATATACACATATATATATAGTGAAATATATTTATTAATCTCTATATCTTTTTTTCATTGCTTTCATCAAAGAATTCGTTCTTATACCATTCTGTAATAGACTTCATTTATTGTTGTGATTAAAAATAAACTATTTTATGTTGTTGTATTTATCGTTGTTGTTTTAAAATAAATATTATTTGTTTAAAAATACAATTTATTATGAATGTAGGACACTAGCTTGTTCAAAGAAGACTTTCGATAAGAAATCAATTCTATTGGCTTTTGTAATTTATTTTCAGTAAAGATTGTTGGTAGTGTTATGCTTTTGGATAAGATATCTGCCACCCGATCCAAAACATGGGTCTAACTACAAACGTGTTGGGTATCCGATCATACCCGGATCCATCTGGATAATTCATGAAATCTTGATGTTTCAAAATATATTTTACATTTTTTGTTAATTGTGAAAGTATCTGTTAGATGTCAATTAACTCCGATCGGGTACCAGGGCAGAGCTATTTGAATCTGGTTGCAAAAAATCGTATCCTGTCATATAATTAACGATTGAAAGATTTGAATTTCATGCACTGACTATATCTATCCAAATTGAATAAGTAAAAACTGATTGTTAGAAAAATTCAATCGAAAAAATTTATAAAAAAAAAGATAATAGCTTGTTTCCGTAAAAACCTTTATTTGAAAGGAGTAAATAAAACAAATGCCAATCAGCAAACTCGATATAACCACAAATATGTGTTGTTTTTTCGACATACACATGCCGTTAAAAATTAACATATATTTTTTTTTTATTAAACTTATTATAGAAAATAGATTGTAATGAAGTTGGCAATAAATATCCATCGAAGAAGTGTCGAACCTATCAAAGAACTTTTAACTTAAAGCATACATCTTCAGAACTAGTTTTTCTGTTTACAACAAATAGACAAATTGGTTTATAAATTGTAAATTGCTATTCCTTTCTTTTGTATTTGTGTAACTTATTTGCGTCAATTATGAGTTTCGTTGTAATATTATTAAGTCAATTTAATTAATGTCAATTACATTTGAAAGTTCGAGCATTTGTTCCAGATTTCTTGAGTATTTTTCATAGAAAACAATTTTCTTTCAATCTTGTTTTAGTTTGATCGTGTTCAACTGTTACACAATGACTGTCCAAATAGGTTAATGAAGATTGTTATTCTACAATGGATGATAATAATTAGCAATCCATGTTGCTTTTTTCTTATAAGATAAGAGATGATCCATATTTTGATCGTTCTCTTTTTTCAGAGAAGTTTATGATTCAGAGAACAAGCAGAATAAAAGCATCTCTGTTTGTTTGGTCTCGATCTGTTTCAAATATAATTCGTCACATTGAAAAAAATTAAAAGTTTGTATTTTGATAATTACTTTATAAGTACATGAATTTTTTCTATATCCGGTAAACGTTATATCGTCATCGTTGGAGAACCCTACAAACATAAACGACTGCAATATTGTATTTCCTCTTGAATATTTGAAATAATCTGAACATTAAAAAAACTACTTTTTTATTGTAGCTGTTTCTTTTAAATAATTTAAAATGATCTAATAACCTAATGGAATGCTTTTAAATAGACAAGTTATTAACCGAACCGAGCCTTTTCAAAAAATTCTTGTATGATTACAACTTCAGAACAAACAAAACTAAGCTTTGATTTTTTTAAAAATTGAACTGCTTGAATGAGAACTTAGTTGCATTGAGTTATAAGAATAGATGAACAAGAGGTTTTTCTCTTATAATTATGATTGTATTCGATGTGAAGCATTATACTTATAATTATAGACATAAAGCTAATCATTACTAAGAGGCAGGTGTGGGTGGGTGTAACACTCTCCTACTTCTGAGATTCGTCTACATAACGCTCCTTTTTTTTGTCTGGAGTTCATCCACTCTGTACTCTCCTCGTCTTCAGTGCTGAGCTACGTCTCTAGTGAAAGTGATGTTAGTGATACTCTTCAGTTTGCTCATTAAGAAAATTTGCTATCTTTTGTAGAATTGATTAATTGCGTTTTGTTTTTTCTTTGATTTTATCCGAAGATTACGGCAACTGGAATTAGTAATCGACTTATTATTGATAAATGTTAATAAGCGTTAGTATATTCATTTAAAAACATTTTTTAAAAGAAAATGTATAGATATATTTCAATGACCTCTATCGGAAATAAGCACTTTCTAAATGGTTATTTGTGTAGGTCCAATGAATTTTTTTTAAATTTGATTTAAACATATACTTTTACAATTTTTTTAAATATTCCATCTATTACTTTTTCATTGAGATCTTCTATTATTAATTGTATTTGTTCTTACTGAGATTTTCAGCTATTCTCTCGTATATGTTAAGTGATCATTTAGTCTTGAGTGTTTCATAAATTGTTAATCATCATTTTATTTGTCTACGTTAACGATCATATTCTACAAGTATTAGGATGTATTTGAATCAGTCAACAGAGAAATAATTTGCATCTTACCATGTGACATACTTCAGATAAATGTTTGAAAAGAAACACGTAAGAGAGCCTTTCGAGATATTCCTTTCCGATGTTAATGATTTCTAGCCTATAGGTACTACATCGTGTTTTAGTGGAAGCCTTAAAAGGACTTCGGTTGCCATTGACATTAGTTTTCGTATTGCAAGTGTTCCACTCTGTGATTTTATAATATTCCACGGTGAAACACTTGCTGAAGAAATATCCGAAAAAATCATCTTATCGAATCTTATTCTAAAAATTCTTCCACTCAAAGATCTCACATCCAGAGAGTTTTAAAAATTTTTGACTTGGTATCTCCAAATTAAGAGCTTTTCGAATATTAGACACTTTTTCAAGGATATTGTACGATAAGTTTGTGGAAAATCTGACGACTCACAAAGATTTCTCGAAAAAAGATATACTAAAAATTCAATAGTTTCACCAAATCTCAATAGGAACGGAAAGCATTTTAGCGTTTTTTTATATAATACTACTATGTAGTATCTATAGATGAAAATCATTGACATCTGATGGGACATCTGGCATGATTTCTTCATCAATTAACTTCATATCATAAGTTAATTATTTCTGTTGAGAATATATTCTATACAGCTGCGTTTTTATACTAGGAGAATCAAAATAAATAGATATATATTCTTCATTAGTCTATTATAGTTTTGATAGAAATATTCCCTAGATGAGATGCTCTCTCTCTTGATTTTTTTCTTATCTTTGTAATCATTTAGTCCTAAAAAGAAGAATACACATTGTTTTTTGTATAGATTCTTTTATCTATTGAGATTATTATCCAAGGTTCAACCATAAAATAAAGATAGGCTGCATAAGATTTTTTTCTTCATGTATCAACTGTATTCTATGGAATTTTTCTTCATCTCAAACTTGCTATGCACAACTCTATTATAAATCATGAAAAATTATTAAAATTCAATCATTTTTGTGCTCCACTTGAATTGATTTGTTCAGTGTTACATATGATACATTCTATTTTTTCTTCTCTTGTTAGCATGAAAAAAGATTGACCTATACAACATATGTTTGTCTAATATCTATTACTTATTAAATCTACAAATAATATTTATAGATATAAAATACTACTTATGTATAGTTAGACTTTATCATAGACTCTATTTAGTTGATTATTTCTGTCAGTTTTGTTTGACGTTTTGTTTTTCTTCAATCCTTGAATTACTTAATAGATTTGACAATAGGAAAAGATCCTGCATTAATAACGGTTCGTGACAATATCAAATAAAAAGAAGTGACAAGAAATACTTCATCAAATACAATCACATAATTATTTTTCTCTTTAGATTAAAAGAGACATGATAAATAATCCCTATGGATTGTGTTTTATTTTCTATTCGAGACATATCAATATAAACAATCTGTAAATGAGTTACATGTTTCTATTATTATCAACAACAACAAAAAAAAGAAAGAAAACGAAATGAATATGTAAGTATTTGTTTTTTATTTATGCTTTAGAAAAGTATAATAAACGTTTGTGATGATTTTTTTCTTATTATTGTTCTTTTTGAGTTGGTGCAGAAAGTGACTGAGGTGTATTAGTTCTTTTTTCATAAAATTGTATTGTATTATTTCCAATATCACTAACAATCATTGTATTTTGATCATTAGAAAAACATACATAATGTGGTGCTTTCATTTTATCACCATGAAAGTGTATAACAGATTGTTGATTATTATTATTCATTGCTAAGATTTTTGATGCATACCGATCAGCTAAAATCAATTGATTGGAACTATCACATACGATACCTATAAGAAATATGTTACGAACAATTACTTCTGAACGGAAAGATTTCGTACCCTCAGGAACACTTAAATTAAGATAAGATTGAGCATCTGTATCAATAAATCTTTGGGCGGTACCATCTGTACTATAAACAATAATACAACCAGCATTATATGCACATGATTCAGGTTTAATTCGTTGCCAAGCTGTTACATAGAGGAGGCCATTTGATATGGAAATATATTGTGGATCAAGTTTTTTTGTACCTAAAAATAAGATAATGAAACAATATTGAAATATAAATGCTATGAAGTATAAATTATAATGACTATATTATTTTTAAAGTTAGGTAAGTTAAATTGATATTCAAAATCGAATATACTAATATTAGTAGAGTATCGAGCATTCTGCTTTTATTAGTTGCTGTGATGAATGAACCAATCGAGCACTTGTCTGCCTTTGAATCGTTAAAGTGTTTTTTTTCTTCTGTCGTTCTTCATATTCTTTTGTAATAGAAAGTGATCACTGGTGCTGATAGCTTCATAGTATCTCGTCACTAGTTAGGGTTTCATACTTGTATCTTGTAGATATAATAAATTCAAACTAGTATCGATACTAGTTATGAAAATCATGAGTAGTTTTCATCTGTGGTTATTTTGTTTTGTATTGAAAAAGACGTATAAATCGTATTATGTAACAATATACGAGAAAAGGCATCTCTAATACTTAGACGAGAAATGTATCATTGATGCAGAAAAAGAAAATAATCGAAATCATACAATCCGATAAGAGTTGAGTTAAATCATTTAGCCTTAAGGAGATACGAGCATTTCTCAGAATAAAAAATAAGACAATGATCTATATTTATACTAATAATCCTTGTTCTTCAAAATCATTCAATTCTATACTAAGAGACATTCATTTTTGCTCAAAAATTGTCGGTAAGAATTCATTTCTTTGGAAATAAATCAAGATTGTTTCAAATAACAAAAATAGATGAAAAAGTCTTTTTTTTTCTTTACCTCTCATAATAATCCATTCCTTTTCATAACGCATTTGATGAATAAGTACAACCATACGTGAATTATATGAATCACAAACATAAACATAATTATTATCAATAGCAACTCCTTTTGGCCATGAAAATGATGAGCGTGTACAACCTTCTTTTTTACTTCCAATAAAACTAATAATTTTTCCATGTAACCAATCATATTTTGAAATTCGATGACGATCGCTTATAATAACATAATGTTCCGTAGCTAAACAAAGACCATCAGGAAAAAGAAAACCTTTTATAGCACGCATTGTTTTTAAATTTAAATCATAAATAATTATACGATGTTTTTTTGTATCAGCAATTAATAATTGATTTGTATCTGTAATAGCAATTGCTTTTGGTGCAAGAAATTTATCAGCTTCATTTGGACCTATTAAAATTTGTCTTGCTTTTTTATTATAATTATCAAGATGTATTGGTGCAATAGACATCCGTGGTGTTAATGGTGTATTATCTTCAATTGGTTGATCGATTTCATTTGATAATTTTCTATTTAAATTTGAATTTGATTTTTGTTGTTGACGAGTTCGAATAAGTTTTCTTATAGCATATTTACTACCTTGTTCAATTTGATGATCATCATATTGTGAATGATTTCTTGATGGTGAAAATTTAACTATACTATGAGAACTATGTTCATTTTCATTATCATAATTTTGTTTTGATAATTGATGATTGAGATTTTGTTCAGTTTTAATTTTATGTTTACTTGCAGATGAATGATGAAATGGAATTAAACTATTTTGATTATCTAATGTATTGAATTTTTGTCGTTGTGAATATTTATTTTCTTGATTTACTGTTTTAAGATGAAGTTCACCAAGATATGATCGATTGATTGATGATGAATTAGGTTTATAAATAAAATCAATAGATTGATCATCAAATTTTCGTTGTAGATTAATCCAATATTGATTTAAACGTATACGATCTGATATACTCCAATTTTTTGGATCTATATCATCTAATTCATGTGATTCTTTTTCCATATCAAATTTAATTTTTTGTAATTTTATATTTTTTGTTAGTAAATAATTTTGACAGAGATCATCTAATTGAGTATATAATATTTGTTCATGATCTTTTTTTTTGTTTTAAAATAAATATGTAAAATTTAAATTTCGTTTTATTATTATTAATATTATTATATTACCTTGAATTTCTTTTATTTGCTTTTCGGCATCGACTTGAATCATTTTACGAATATTTTCTTTTGATTCAGTTAACTTATTATTCCATTGAGATATTTTTTCATTAAGATTATCACGTATTTTAACTAATTCACTATATTCTTTGGCCTGTTCATTAGCTATATTTTCTTCATGTTCATTCATACATTTAAAACAAGCTAATGAACGACAATGAAAACATCGACCATAGGCAGGCTTTTTATTACATAATTCACATATACCTATTTGTGCAATACGATGATGTTCAGCTCGTTTTATTGTTTGTAATGTATAATTTTTTGTTAATTGTCTTATGTCTTGAACACTACTGAAACGACGTGCTTCTTTACAAATAGGACACTTGAGAACACCATCATCTGGTAGAGCATTCTATAGGAATATGAAGAGAGAGAGAGAGAGAAAAATTATTACTATGTAGTATAACTAATTCATTCATAAGATAAGGTCAGATCGAAAGAAATAACGATTAACTGGTAGAATTTAGAAAAATTTCAAAAATATAAAAGTTTTCTTAGTGAATTTAAAGATCGTATTTCGGCCCTGGTACATCAGCATATGCGCAATATAGGATTCGGACCTAAAAATTTTTTCTAACCAGGACTAGGATCAATTTTTATCACTGGGACTAAAAACGACTAGTCACGTTCATGTTTAAACATACCGTTAGATATATTAATAGACTCCATTACCTCCTAGAAATCATAGCCAATACTAATATTTTCTCACACTCTCCCGTATCATAATTACGGATATCCTTCTTCCTGCTTTGTTTCTGATTGAAAATATTTTTTTAAAGAGAAAATAAAGAAAATCGAGCTAAAATTTTTGTGACACCTAGAACATAATCCATGAGGAAAAAAGAATGCTTTTCGTGATATGTTAAGAAAAATGTTTGTTTTTCTTTACAACATCTCATTGGATTGGACTACTTCTAGCTAATCTCATTCTATAGGATTGAGTATTTTTTTTTTAAAATAATCAGAAAGAGTTTTTTTTTAAGGATTTCTCAAATATATGCTATTTCGTGCTTCCTATTTCAAAAATTACTGCAAACTTCTACTTGAACGACTAGACTATTCTGTCTGATAAACTCTGCCAGAAACAATTAGAATTACAAATGAATAAAAACATCTGTAGAAGGCATTTAGTTGTGATCAGATTCTCTGTTTAATTTATACAGCTTAAAAGGAAAGCTATCAATAGGACCTAACCATAAACCATATAAAAAAATTTTCTCAAATCAAAAACTGTGTAATAGTAGATCTCATGTTTGAAATTACATAAATAGCTAAGAATTATTGTTTAAGATACGTTTCACAGCATACTTGAATACAATTCGAACAGAATGTATGTCCATTTGAACAGAGTATACGTGGATCTTGAAGATCTCTTTTACATAATGGACATTGAAATAATGAATTTGTATCGAAAATACGAGTAATTGCTTCATAATCATCGTCACTTGGTTGAAACGAAGACATTACTGTTAATAATGATCGAATATTTGTATATGTTAAAATTTAACTTAATGTTACGTACATACATTATTCCGTTGTCAAGAGTACACAGTAGGGAACATTATTACATTGAAGAATTGAGTTTTTTTTCTAATTCAAATTTACGAATATCTTTGTCTTTTTTTCTTGTCAATTATTTTCAAAGTAAAAAAAGAAACTTGTATTCAAGACTCAACATTCGTGAACACATTTTTCGCTATCAAAATTTCATATGAATAAAGAGTATACTGTATAGAATTATTTTTTTCACCTAAACATCTCCATTTGATTAAATTCAGTCATTAAAATGAGTACATCATAATAAACAATTGTTTAACTGAATAAAGAATGTTTTATTTTATGATCTTTACAATAAAGATTATAATAAAAGAAATCTGTTATGACTTGTTTGAATCCTGAAATGAATCATGTCAATTAATTTCTGTTTTGCAGTTCTTTATATAATGTCACGAGAAGAAAAGAATAATACAAATACGTCATATAAAAAAAACAATAATGATCATTGCAATTCATTATATTAATAAACAGATTATCTATTAGGGATGTCATATTAGAATTAACATCACCATTTGTTAATATTAATGCTAATGCTGTAGATCTTAGTATTAAAACTTATTTTAATGCTTTAGGTTTATTTAATTAGAACTAGGCAATCTGAAGGTGTTAGCATGAAAATTAATATTAGTTTAAATACTACTAAATTGGTTATCGACTATTAGGTCTCCTATAATTCTAAGTTCAAAGGTTTTTCAAATCGAATAATTTAGATTCATTTTTGAAATTGACATATTCAGGCATAAAAATATTTTTATTCTGTTTTTGGCGATGACCTTTGCAGTTAAAACAACCTTTGTTCTGTTATGTAAATGGCACTCACGGTTACAATAACCTTAGTTCTGTTTTGAGAATAGTACTTCCAGTTAGAATAACTTTTGCTCTACTTTCAAGAATAGCACTCATAGTTAAAGTAATCGTTGTTCTGTTTAGAGGATGACGCTTCCGGGCGAAAAAAAAAATGTTTGTTCTGTTATCGGAAGCTGCTGAATGTGAACTCTAAAACATACATATATAGCCGTAGGTCGCATATATATATATTAGAACTAAAAATAATGCTAATTAAATGCTAACAGTTTGGCATCAATGAATTCTAATGCAATTAAAATCATATAATCAAAGTTGATTTTAATACTAATCCCTGAAGAATTAGCATTATTCTATTAGTTACGGTAATTTGACACCCGTATTAACAATAGAATCAAGTGAAACGATACTTGCTTGCCTATGATTGTGAATTGAAATTCTATTCACTGCAATATCCACTTGTCCTAGTAATATCGTTATTTAATTTTCAAACGAAATTGTCGTACATATATATTTCATCTCTTGACCAAGTGATTAGTTTTTTTATATTTTTGATTTAGATGGAATTCATCATCACCAAAAATTTCATCTTGATAATAAATAGATATTTTTATTTTTTGAAATTTTGCATTTTTTTTAGTTCATAAAGCTTATTTATTTACTTTATTATTTTTGAATAAATTTTTTTGTTTTGATTTCATAGATATGAATATTTTTCTCAGATAATAATGCCATGGTTGTCTCTTCGACGTCGAGCCATGTTCAATATGTATCAACGAATGACTCAACGTTCTTCTTTTACTTTTTTCATTATCATTGTGACTATTATTCTACTTGGTTTTCATTTATTATCATCAGATAATATTTCTATTCAAAAACAACAACCATGTACATCAAAATCAAATGAGTTCAAAGAATTTCAACAAAGTAATTATAATTCATCATCATTAAAACCAATTATTTTTATTGGTGGAATGCCACGAAGTGGTACAACATTAATGCGTGCTATTCTTGATTCGCATCCACTTGTTCGTTGTGGTGAAGAAACAAGAGTTATACCAAGAATTTTAAGTATGAGAACAGCTTGGAAAAAATCTCATGTTGAATGGAATCGGTAAGATATTTATTTATTTGTAAATATAATTTTCAATATTTGGTTTGTATGAAATACTAAGATAAGAATAGACATTCTTTTGACTTTTTACAATAATGTAAACGCTTTATTTTTTTATAATAACGGTTATAGTTTTTTAAGTACAGTTAAAATTTTTATGAATTGATAGTAGAATAAACTGATAATGTCGATTATTCACATGATAAACCAGGTATAATAATACTCAAAAGTCTTCATGCGCCTGTAACTTTCTAAAAACACTGGCATTTTCTGTACCACTAGTATAAATAAGTAGCGCTAACCATCTTCGGATTAGACTCACTGTCCAGATCGTCTATAAACATTAGCTCTGGAATATGGCTTCCACGATACACATCAGTGAAATTTAATTGCCTTTCTGTTGAACCATCCTTCGAGTTCAAAGTTTGGCTACAATGCTGTGAGCCAAGCAGTCAAGTCTAACATTGTGATAGTTAGAGCGATTTAACTTGACCTCGTTGATTACGTGCAGCAGCAATCCTAAAACAGGATCCACAAGTTATTTTACTCGCTGAAGACTGAATGGTCGTTAGTCACATAGAGAACAGTGTGAGAACGTTTAAACGAAGCAGGAATGAATTACAATCGACTCATTCTCAAGTCATTGTTCATCGAACGCCATCGAGATAATAATTCAAAATAGGCCTAGCAATATAGAGCTGGCCGTTAGGATCAAGTGATATTTTCTGAAGAGGCTATCACCCGTCTGGCTACCATCAAAGGATTGGTTTAGAGCACGTCGGTGTTACGAATCGTGACGCATCTTATTAGAGTCAATACGTGGATTTGCTTGTCAAGTCAAAGTGTCGAAAATGTGAAGTCTTAATGGAGAAAACTTACTCCCAAAAGGACTAACGAAACAATAGGATGAGAAATATGAATGTCATTATTGCTGGAAAGGCATAAAATTAAAAGGAGATGAATTTCATTGCTCGAGAGTTTCTACTCTGATCGTATATGAACAGTTTATATCACGATCTGGAGTAATACAGTTCGTCGGGTCTAAATTTCTACTCCTATACTTCAGCACTCATTTTAGATCGTGTTTCACCAACAGAAAAACATAACTTCCAAAATCCAAATCAGTTATTTCCAGATGTTTGTGTCTAATTTAATAAATTTCTTTTATAGACTTATGGCTGGTGGTATGACAGAAGAAATACTTGATTCAGCTGTTCGTGCATTTGTTTATGATATTTTATTTCATCATAGTCAATCTTCTGATATACTTTGTGATAAAGATCCATTTGTTCTTAAATATGCATCATATATTTCATCGATGTTTCCAAATTCCAAATTTCTTTTAATAATACGTGATGCACGTGCTGTTATACATTCAGTAATGACACGTAAAGTAACAATAACTGGTTTTAGTTTAACTGATTATCGATTAAATTTAAAATTATGGAATAAAGGTATGGAAATCATGTTTGAACAATGTAAACAAGTTGGTGAAGATAAATGTCTTATGGTTTATTATGAACAACTTGTTTTACAACCAAAAAAATCTATTGAAAATATCTTGAAATTTTTAAATTTAACTTGGGTTGATGATGTACTTCATCATGAACAATTTATTGGAAAGAAAATCTCACTTTCAAAGTAACTATGAACAAAAAATGCAAAGGTTTTGTTTGTTTGTTTGTTTTTCTTCTGCTATTTCATAGAACTGAACATTCATCAGATCAAGTTATTAAACCAATTAATCTCGAAGCATTAACAAAATGGTTTGGTCATATTCCAAGTGATGTTAAACAAGATTTAGATATATTAGCACCAATGTTAAAAAGACTTGGTTATAATACAAAATCAGATGTACCATCGTATGGTAATGCTGATCAATTGGTACTAGATAATATGAATCGACTTAAACAGAATGCTGATTTTTGGAATGCTAAAGCAAAAATTTATGCTCATCAATCACCTAATTCGACAAATTTATTTAACAAATAGATCAAGTTTTTGGAAGAATATGTTCTTTTTTGCTGATTGTATTTATTTTTTTTTCTTGAAGAATGAATGACTTGTTATAGTGCATTTTTAACTGCGATATAGGGTATTTTGTTTTTTTTTCGTTTTTTTAAAGTTTATGTTTGAGATAACGGTTTTATTTTTTTTTCCAGAGATCTGCTTGATTTATGCAAAATTTCTGTTTCATACTCGTTGTAGTATAATATTTTTTTTTCGTAATAGAAATATCAGATTTAGGTTCATCAGGTATTCTAGAAATATCTTACCAAGAAAAGAGTAGAATATATTCATCGTATTTTGAAAGAATGAGTTAATTTTTTTTTCGTGAAGATAGTGGAGTTCCAAGGTTTTATTCTTGAGCATAAAATTAACTAACGAGATTTAAAACTTTTATTATCAATTTAAGAAAGAAAGATTAACACTTTCTGGCAAAGATGAAAGGTAGATTTATTTAAAGTGTAGTGCTCCGAAATTTTCTCTATATTCAAAATCATTTATTTTCAGTTTTCAAGTTTTCGCTAATCTATCTAGCTTTATAGAATCCTTTCGGATATCCTTATACCGAAAATTACCAAGAAACCTGTACGGCTGTAGTCATTTTTTTGGTAGAGTGCTTGTGCGGATAGTCAATTGCCAAGACATTAAGTATTCGAAACTTTTTTGATGCATATGACTTTCTAGAGCTTCTTTTACTAATCATTTCAGTACAAAGAATTATCGATTTTCATTAACAAATAATGGTATTGCACTCAAAGTACTAAAAACCGTTACATTGCTAATGAAAATAGAAAAAGTTCTACAAAATTGGATACATCTACATAAAAATTCTTAGACTGCTGCATCTCTTATGGTTTACTACCACTCACAAAAGTACTTGAGCAAATAGTGTTAGATTTCAAATTTTTTAATAAGCTGATGATTTATGAATAAAAACTTGCAACGTTTTTTCCCTTACGAATAAAAAAATTAATTCAATTCT